CTCTCCCCATCACCCTGTATCCATCCCCAAACTAATCCCACTGCCCCGTTCTCTCCCCATAGCCCTGTATTAATCCCCAAACTAATCCCACTGTCCCACTCTCTCCTCATAACCCTGCATCAGTCCCCAAACTAATCCCAATGCCCGGTCTCTCCATAGCCCTGTATCAATCTCCAAACTAATGCCACTGCCCCACTCTCTCCCCATAGCCCTGTATCAATTCCCAAACTAATCCCACTGGCCTGCTCTCTCTCTCCATAGCCCTGTATCAATCCCCAAACTAATCCCACTGCCCCCCTCTATCCCATAACCCTGTACTGATGCAATAGGGGCTGTGTTTCAGATCTGTCATTGCGTGCAGTTTCTCCTTACCATGCAGTGAGAGTTTGGAGAAGTCGGGGAGAGTGTGTGAAAAGGCTACACTTGGTGTGCTCCCGACAGTGTGACTCGTGATTCCGCTCGGCACATTAGTGGTGGTCTTGCCATTGACGGTGGCATAGTTTGTTGTACTGGTGCCACGGTCCCCGCTCGACATTCTCCTCTTCTCCGGCAGGGCAGGTTGGGGGCCAATGACCATGTAGCTTCGAGATGGTGAGGAGCCACTGGGCACTGTGTGGCTGGAGGTGGAAGCTGGCACCGGGCTGCTGGAGTTATAGTAGGCCGGTGAGACGGGGAATGCCGGTGTTCCTGGTGAGACGTATCCTGTAGAGCTGGCCTGGTGTGACAGGGTGGGATACTGCTGATCTAGCTGTGCTGTAGGACTCGAGAATCCGTACGGCTCTGTGATGGGGGTGCTGGGAGTGACAGGGGCACTAGCACTCAGAATACCTGGATATCGGGACAGGATGGGGCTACTGGAGGTGCCGGGTCCAACTCCGTGAGCACTCCCTTGGTGCCTGGTCATTCCTGGACTTCCCGGCGCTCCGGGACTCATTATCCTCCTGCCCAGGGATGGGCTTGGCGGGGTATTGGTGGCCACTGTCCTGTGTAGGGGCTGGGAGCTCAGAGTTGCTGCTCTGTCCTGAGGAGGTGCTCCTGGGCTTAGGGAAGACTCTGGCACCATCACAAAGCTTCCTGAGGAGCTGCCTGTTCCTAGGGCAGACTGGTTAGATGGACTGTTGTTAAAATAGCTACTCTCTGTGTAGGATGGCTGAGAGAAACTGGCCGATCTCAAACTAGAATCCAGAGATGGGTGGGCTGTACTGACTCCATGTCCATTGGTATCTCCTGGCGAAGAGTTGACGATGAAGGAGCTGGGGGAGGAGAATGAGAAGAATGAAAGCTGGAATTGATATCAGTTGAGAAGCGAGCATTGGACAAAGCAGAGGGGACACCCATCTTCCAGCCAGAGTGGGGTCAAAGGTCTCCCCATGATCTTGGACAAGTATGGCCAGCTTTCACCCAGATCTCCCCCAACCCAGTGTCCCCAGGAGAGTCACTAAACAGCCTCCAGTTCATCACAAAACAAACCTACCCCAAACTGCCTCCCAGGGTCACCACCTTCCAATCATGAGCTCTTATCTCCACATCACAAAATTGTTACGGTGCTGGAGGAGGCCATTCGGCCCATTGCGTCTGCATTGCTTCTATTATCCCATGTCAATCTCTAGCCCTTTCCCCATTTCCTTGCAAACCGTTACTATCCAAATAGTCATCCAATGCTCAGTTGAATGTTCTCCCCCCACCGACTTGAAGATCAGGCTACCTCCCTGTAGTGGTCAATAAAAACCGAAAGAACTGCGGATGCTGTAAATCAGGAACGAAAACAGAAATTGCTGGAAAAGCTCAGAAGGTCTGGCAGCATTTCTGTCTCCTGTGGTGGTCACTGGCCAGTGTGATGACTGACAAGATTTGGAGAACCACACACACACACCAGGTAAGGCCCAGGCTGTATTCTACCTGTACTCCTACTATTGTTCCCAGATGGGAATGTGGATGGCATTGGCTAGGCCAGGACTTTCGACCTGTCCCTAACTGCCCCTTGAACTGAGTGTCTCATGTGGCTATTTCACAGGGCAGTTAAGAGTCAACCACATTGCTGTGGGTCTGGAGTCACATGCAGACCAGACCAGGTAAGGATGGCAGTTTCCTTCCCAAAAGGACATTAATGAACCAGATGGCGGAAATTACAGAGGAGCAGGAAAGCTGATGTTTCGGGTTGGGATCCTCCTTCAGAAATTTCTGAATCAGCATTTCTGAAGAAGGGTCCCGACTCAAAACGTCAGCTTTCCTGTTCCTCTGATGCTGCCTGGCCTGCTGTGTTCCTCCAGCTCCACACTGTGTTGTCTCTGACTCCAGCATCGGCAGTTCTTACTATCTCTGGCAGAAACTGAAGTCTGTCATTAGGTTAGTTTCTGGTGCCAAGTTTTATTGAATTCATACATTACCATCTTCCACGGTAGGATTTGAACCAGGTCCCCCAGACCATAACCTGGGGTTCTGGGTGACTATTCCAGTGATATTACCACTACACCAGCCCCAGGTAACTGAGAAGCACACGGATAGAGGTACTGGGCTGGGGTTTACCATGAAGCACTCAGTCCCACTCAGTGATTGCAGCATGCGTTCCCCAGTGCTCACCTCTCCATGCTGAGTAAGGGGCTGCTGCTTGAAATGGGGTTGGGGGATGTGAATGATGTGTCACAGGGTACACTGCTGCTCGGGGCTTCCACCGTGTAGCTCTGTGATGGCGGAGAGGGAGCCTGCAGATCGCTTGCCCCGACAGCTGCTGTCCTCACCACAGACTCCACGTAACTCCTGGGCTCTAAGGAAGGAACAAAACAGGAAAGGGACAGGAGATTGAATCAAAAAGCCTAGAAACTGTCCAACTGGATAGGACACCACAGAGGAACACAGGAAGCAGAGCAAATCAACAGATATCGACAGCCCACAATAAATATTCCATCCTCACCAGGACGGATTTACATTCCTGCATACAGGGCGCTCCTGATTTACCAGTGTCTGACTTACAAACACTCAGATTTACAAACACAGTCTCATACTTGAGGGTAATTGTAAAGATCTGACAGATAACCATTGCCCAAACTTACAAACAATTGCTTTCCATCATCTGGCACTGTGCTCTAGTTTGTGTACACATCGACTCATGAACAGACTCAGGACTGGATTTGTCCACACCCTGGGAACGCTATAACACGGCACGTCTTATTGGATAACCCACCACCTTTATTATACAATGACAGTATGTATTACTGGCTCCCCACTCCTGCATCTTACACTCCAATCCGGTTCATGATCAGGAAGGGGATACGGGGAGAAGGCAGGAGAATGCGGTTGTGAATAACATCAGCCATGAACAATTGGCAGAGCAGACTCGATGGGCCAAATGGTCTAAGTCTGCAGTTATATCTTGGGTCGTATTGGCCTGTGGTGTGCTCCTGTCCTATTGGTTAGTTCTCAGTGAGCTGGACTCAACGCAGTGCAATAGCATACTCAACTATCCTGAGTGGGCGTGGGGGCTGGAGGACCAGGGACAGTAACCTGATGGTATGTGGGAGGAGGTGGACTGGGGAACCAGGCACCATCCCATCACACAGCCTGACCTCACTGGGGCTGTCTCCAGCTGGTGGGGCTCACCAGCCTGCCTTGCTCATGGAGTTAAAAACCACACTGGATCTATTTCCAACCTGATTTCAGTTCATTTCACACCAAACATGAATGCAGGAACAGAGTGTCATACACACTCCTATACACAGACATCTCAGATACTGAAGCAGTCCATGTTCACATACAACAAGATCTGGACAATATCCAGGCTTGGGCTGACCAGTGGCAAGTGACATTCACGCCACACAACTGCCAGGCTATGACCCTCACCAATAAGAGACAATCTAACCACCATCCCTCGACATTCAATGGTGTTACCATCACTGAATCCCCCACTATCAACATCCTGGGGGTTATCATTGACCAGAAACTCAACTGGACTCACCACATAAACACAACGGCTACACAGGCACATCATAATCTAGGAATACAGCAGTAAGTAACTCACCTCCTGACTCCCCAAAGCCTGTCCACCATCTACGAGGCACAAGTCAGGAGTGTGATGGGATACTCCCCACTTGCCTGGATGGGTACAGCCCCAACAACACTCAAGAAGCTTTACACCATCCAGGGCAAAGCAGCCGCTTGATTGGCACCACATCCACAAACATCCCACTCCCTCCACCACCGACGCTCAGTAACAGCAGTGTGTACTATCGACAAGATGCACTTGTAAGGAGTCAACCCACAGCAGGAGGACTGCAGTTGTTCAAGAAGGCAGCTCACCTCCACCTTCTCAAGGGGCAAATAGGGATGAGCAAGAAATACTGGCCCTAGCCAGTGATACCCATGATGCATGAATGAATAAAATCAAACGTTAGGTACTGGTGGGATAGGATCAGGGGAATTAGTGTGCTGCATTATGTGGAATTCCTCTGGAACATCTGCTATCCTCTAATGCAGTGGAATTGAGATCGGAGGATCTCATTGCTGCAGATGGCTGTGGAAAACAAGTCATTGAGTATACTTAAGACAGAAATAGGTTCCTGATTTGTAAGGAGATCAAGAGTTTTGGGAGAAGGCAAACAAATGGGGTTGAGAAACATATCAGCCCTGATTGAATGGTGGAGCAGACTCAATGGGCTGAGTGGCCTCATTCTGCCCCTATATCTTATGATCTAATTCCTTGGAAGTTTCTGCAGCACAGCAACGAGAGCTGCATGGCAATCCCAACGCTCCCAGTTTTGGAAAAGTTTGGGAAGCTTTGTGATCTTGGACAGGTCTGTGTAATCTCACAAGCGACTGAAAACTGGAAGTTCCTAGCCTCATCCTCGCAGGGGCAAGTTACGAGCTGGGTCTCAATACGCATAACGTACATCACAGAGACTCAGCAGCATTCATAGCTCTGAAAGAGAAACACACTGAATTTAAAATGGCATCATTGGCCAAGGGGGATACGAGGCAACAGCGAGAGAGAGAGAGGAACCTAGTCATAGCTAGTAAGAGAGAAACAGGAGGAGAGACAGTCATAAAAAGAGAGGTATTGACAGTCAGAAGAGAGAAAAGCAAGGAGGAAAAACAGATCAGGAGAAAGATGAAGAGTCAAAAAAGATGAGTGAATCAAAATAAGCAAGCAATAATGAGAGACAGTGCAAGAGTTAAAAATACAGGAAACCAGAGGGAGGGAGAATGAGAAAGAGAGAGTACACAGCTAACAATCTACAGCAAGTTCGAGAAAGGGAGCAGGAAATAGAGAAAATAAATAAAAGAGGAACAGATTGAGAAAGGAGAGAGTGGGAGACACACAAACAATAATATTTAGTGAAGGCAGAGGAGAAAGAGAGAGAAGGGACCAGTGAGATGGAGAGATAGAGACAGTTACCTACATACCAATTCCCATCAGACTGCACTGAGGTTTGGGAGAATTGTGAAGTGATAAATCCAGCAGAACACACCACTATCAGCATCTTCCCTTTCAGCTCCAGCAAGCTCAGTCCCTTAGGCCAATATTGGAGTCCCTTTCCCCTGCATCCTCTCACAGCTCTCTCACTCTCGTTATCCCACAGATACACTCTCCCCTGAGCTGCCAGTCCACAACCCTGTGAGGTCTACAGTCTCGAATTGACAAAAGGGCAATGGCGGAAAACTGATGGCTCACAAAGCCATGTTTCCAATCAGCGAAACGCGATCACAGCCCTCACCAGAAACACCAAATCATTTTCACAAGCATTGCTGCACCATTTGTTCCTTGCTTTGATTACACAGAGGCACCAGGCCTGGTCATGATCCAGTAAACTGTTAATTAACTTTGCCCTAATTTCAGCAAGCACACTGCTTGCCTTGTCTTCAAGTCAGTCACGATGCCCTCTGTGTTGTTCCACAGGGCAGAGAGAGACAGATGGAGAGAGAGGGGGAGAGAGATGGAAAGGGAGAGAGAGACAGAGGGGGAGAGAAGGGGAGAGAGATGGAAAGGGAGAGAGACAGAGGGGAGAGAGGGGGAGAGAGAAAGGGGAACAGACAGAGGGGGAGAGACAGAGCAGTAGACAGAGAGGGAGGAGAGAGAGGGAGATGACAGCAAGGCACAGAGGGAGAGATAGAACGATACAGAGGCACAGAGAAACACAGAGACACAGAGAGGGAGAGAGACGGAAAGGGAGAGAGACAGAGGGGGAGAGACAGAGCAGTAGACAGACAGAGAGGGGAGAGAGAGATGACAGCAAGGCACAGAGAGAGAGAGTTAGAACTATACAGAGGCACAGAGAAACACAGAGACACAGAGGGGGAGAGAGGGACAGAGAGAGAGGGACAGGGAAAGGGAAGAGAGGGAGAGAGAGAGTGAGGGGAAAAATGGAGGTGAAGGGAGAGACAGGTGGGCAGAAACACAGATACGGGATGGAAAGGGAGAGGGACAGTGAGGAGAGAAAGGGAAGGGGGTGGTGAAGAGAGATAGGAAGAGGAGGGATAGGGATGAGAGATGCTGAAGGATTCAGACAGGATTGAAGAGTGAGCTAACCTCAGAGCTTGGGAACACAGGCTTTGACTAAACCTTGTTTGAAAACGATGCTGGGCAGGGAGCCTGTTGGGAATTCTGGAACAATTCTCGGCTGTGTCTTTTCTCTCTCTGCTGCTCAGTCCCTTTGTAGCTGCACTTGGCAGCTCCACAGCTCCAGTGAGCAATGCTCCCCTTGCCTTGTTCACACTGAAAGCCTGCCCTGCAACTGAGAGCTGTCCCCCTTCAGCCAACACGTAGGCCCCGGGTAGGGACAGGCTGCCAGCCCTGACTCGCACAACTCTCCCCTGTCACTCCCTAAAGCCCCTTAGCTCCTGCTCAGCTGCTTCATTCAAGATGGCCATCTCCCCAGTTCCTGTAAGGCCTCATCAGGGATTTCCTCAGTCTATCAGAGAGATACATTTGGGACTTGGAATACTTTGATTAACTCTTAACTCCCCAGAGGAATGGGGCTCAATAACAGGTGCACCTTCCCAAGTAGAGACAAAAAGACAGAACTCTGTATCTAACCCCGTGCTGTCCCAGTCCTGGGAGTGTTTGATAGGGACAGTGTAGAGGGAGCTTTAATCTGTAGCTAACCCCGTGCTGTCCCTGTCCTGGGAGTGTTTGATAGGGACAGTGTAGAAGAAACTGGAATAACATGCAAACCCCACACAGTCGCCCGAGGGTGGAATTGAACCCGGGTCCCTGGCACTGTGAGGCTGCAGTGATAACTACAGAGCCCCCATGCCACCCTGTGCAATCAGTGTGCCACTTTCTAGATGTGCCTTTATTCCAGGATCCTTGCAGAGGTCCCATGTAGCACAGGTAAATATTTGAATAAAGGGCAGGAGTGTTTTCCACGGTGTCATGGAGAATATTTACCCCTGTCATCAGGAGCACCTCGTCACATTGTATTGTGCGGGAGACTCATGGTTGTCATTGGTTGCTGCATTCCTGATGTCTTTACAGTGACTACAATGCAAATCAAACTCATTGGCTGTAAAATGTGTCGGGATAACGTAGAGGTTATGAAAGGTGCTATCTTAATGCAGATTCTCTTCTTTGTCCCTGTTTTAGAATCTTGAATATTATTCACCCACACCAGGTTTTATGTTATTGTTATGTCCCTTTCCACCTCTCACTCCATCAAATCACAGATGAGTGCAATCTCCCTGTGAAGTAGGTAAAACATCACTTTTCACTGTACGTTGGAACACATGACACTAATAAATGAAATCAAGTCAAAAGTCCCACCCAGGGGAGGACATTCCACCCATTGAAGCAGTGCTAGCTCTGTTGAATTGGTTGCACTCCCCCGTTGGTCTCCCATTTCACCAACACTTTTATCCCTCAAATAAGTATTCACTTCCTTTTAGAATTTGTTCAAACTGCCCTCTCAGGGAGAACATTCCAGATCCATTTTTCACAAAAGATGTTTCTCTAATCATTTCTGATTAACCTCTGTCCTCTGGTTGTAGCTTTGCTATTTAGAGGAAACAGTTTATTTATCAATAGTCTTCATGGTTTCAAATACCTCAAGCAAATCTCCACTGAACCTTCCCTGCTCTGAAGAGAACAGCCCCAATGTCTTCAGTCTGTTGACATTCCTGGAATAGCTCAGGTCTAGTACCGTCCCCAGTAAATCACTTCCATTTCCCCAAATCCACCCACTGCCCTTCCTTAAGTCTGTGGCTCACAATTAGACCCAAATCTCCAACTGCAGATGCAAAACAAACCTTCCACATCCGACAGAGGTTCACCTTCACATCCGCCAACTTGGTCTACTGTATCCGTTGCTCCCGATGTGGCCTCCTCTACATCGGTGAGACCAAGTGGAGACTCGGAGACCGCTTTGTCGAGCACCTACACTCGGTTCGCAACAAACGACAACACCTTCCAGTCGTGAACCACTTCAACTCCCCCTCCCAGTCCCTGGGTGACATGTCCATCCTGGGCCTCCTCCAGTGTCACAATGATGCCACCCGCAAACTGAAGGAGCAGCACCTCATATTCCACCTCGGGAGCCTACAGCCCAATGGCCTGAATATGGATTTTACCAGATTCAAAATCTCCCCACCCCCGGCTTCATCCCATGTCCAACCCTCCCTCCCATCCCTGCCTCCTTGACATGTCCATCTTCTCTCCCGCCTATCCACTCCTCCCATCTCACTGACCAATCCCCACCACTCCGTACCTACACTCACCTCTCACCATCCCACCTACCTTCCCCAGCCCCACCCCTCCTCTGTTTATTTCTGAGCTCCCTTCCCCCTCCCCCATTTCTGAAGAAGGGTCCCTACCCGAAACATCAACTTTCCTGTTCCTCTGATGCTGCCTGGCCTGTTGTGTTCCTCCAGCTCCACACTGTTTTATCTCTGACTCCAGCATCGACAGTTCTTGCTATCTCTATACTTCAGAGAGTCATGCACAACTGCCACACCTGGTGGATCCCTCTATTCCACAAACCTCTTTTCAATTTGGGTCCTTTAGCTTCTAAGCCAAATTTGCAGATGGAAATTGATGAAAAGGCAGATTGTGAGAGGGATACAAACAGTTTACAGAGAGATATTGATAGGTTAAGTAAGTGGGCAAGAAGTTGGCAAATGCAGTATAATGTGGGAACATGTGAAGTTGTTCATTTTGGAAAGGAGAACAAAAGAACAGAATATTATTGAAATGGAGAAAAACTGCAGAAAGCTGCAACACAATGGGACTTACAGGGGCTTGTGCACAAAACACAGAAAGCTAGTACACAGGGGTCGCAGGGAATCAGGAAGCCTAATGGAATGTTGGCCCTTATTTCAAGTTTATTTTATTCATTCTCAGGATGAAGGCATCGCTGACCAGGCCAGCAGTTATTGCCCATCCCTAATTGCCCAGAGGGCAGTTAAGAGTCAACCACATTGCTGTGGGTCTGGAGTCACATGTAGGCCAGACCAGGAAAGGATGGCAGTTTCCTTCCCTGAAGGACATTAGTGAACCAGATGGGTTTTTCCGACAATTGACAATGGATTCATGGTCATTGTTAGGCTATTAATTGCAAATTCTTTTACTGAATTCAAATTCCACCATCTGCCATGGTGGGATTTGAACCCAGATCCTCAGAACATCACCTGGGTCTCTGGATTAATAGTCTAACAATAATACCATGAAGCCATTGCCTTCCCCATTGTTGAGGTATAAGAGTTGGGAAGTCCTTTTGCAACTATACGAGGTGCTGGGGAGAGCATATTGGGAGTACTGTGAGCAGGTTTGATCCCTTAATTGAGGAAAGATGTTATTTCACTGGAGGCAGTTCAGAGAAGGTTCACTTAGATGATCCCTGGTGTGGAGGGATTGTCATATGAGCAGAGGCTAAACAGTTTGGGACACTGTGCACTGGAGTTTAGAGGAATGAGAGGTGATCTCATTGAAACATATTGGATTCTTAAGGGGCTTTACGGGGTAAATGCTAAGACCATGTTACCCCTCATGGGGGAGTCTAGTCCTACACTTTCCCACATGAGGAAACAACCTCTCTGCATCTACCCTGTCAAGCCCCTTAAGAATCTTGTATGTTTCATTAAGGTCGTCGACCATTCTTCTAAACTCCAGTGAGTACAGGCCCAACCTACTCAACATCTCCTCATAAGGGAGTCCCTCCATACCCAGGACTAACCAAGTGAGCCTTCTGTGAACTGCCTCCAGTGCCAGACTACCTTTCTTCAGATTAGGGGGGCCCCAAAAACTGTTCACTGTATTCCAGTTATGGTCTGACGAGTGCCTTGTATAGTTTTAGCAAAACCTCCCTCCTTTTATACTTCAATCCCTTTGAAGTAAAGGCTACCATTCGATTTGCTTTCCCTATTACCTGCGGATGATGCTGCGATTCTGTGATTCACGAACGTGGAGCTGCAGGTTTCTGCAATCTTTCTCCATTTTGATAGTCATATAAATAATTTTCAACTCCTCTATTCGTCTTGCGAAAGTGCAGTTGCCTCGAGCAAATCTCCACTGATTTGTGCCACTCCTTTGAATTTCCATTTTGCTCCCTCTCTCTCTCTGTCTCCTTCTCCCTTCCCCCATCCCAAACCCCCATTCCCCACCTCCTTCATCCTCACCCCCGCCCCATTCCTGTTTCCCTGTACTCCAATCCCATCTTCATGCCAAGGAGGAAGTTGTACCTTGTCCAAGAGTTGCTGACTGGAGAAGTACATCAGCTGGATTGTGCGGTTTCAGGCCCAGGGCGGAGAGTGGGGTCTTGGCTAGTCCTGGGGGGGAGCGGGCTGCTGCAAACAGACAGAACACTGTGTTTAGAGAAAGGAGACACAGCAATGGGCTGAGTGGATGAACAGGACGAGGGAGTCACTTTTCCCTGAGTAACAGCCGAGCAGGAACTGGGACCACTCCTTCCCTACGATGCTACCGAATCACTGAGCAACTTTCCTGTGACCGTCTGCCTTGCTGATCGGCACCATGATCAACATCAACAAGGGAGACAGTCCGAGAACCTGCTGGCATTTTACTGCAGTCTGCTGGGATACAGTCAGCTGGGACACAGACTTCTGGGATAAAGTCTATTGTTGGGAGACTGCTAGGACACTGCCTATTGGGACACAGTCTGCTTGGAGTCTGCTGGGAGACAGGCTGCTGTGCTTCACCATGTCAAGATAATAACTTCTTGCTACCCAAAAGATATGCAAGAGACAGCACTTGCACACATGATGACAGCTTCTAGCTATTGGGAGCTAATAGTTGAAACAGTCAGGTATGACTGCAGGGTAGTGGGAATAGTTTGGGGATTGATACAGGGCTATGGGGAGAGGGGGGGCAGTGGGATTAGTTTGGGGATTGTTACAGGGCTATGGGAGAGGGGGAGCAGTGGGATTAGTTTGGAGATTGATACAGGGCTATGGGGAGAGAGCGGGGGGCAGTGAGATTAGTTTGGGGATGGATACAGGGCTATGGGGAGAGTGCGGGGTTATTTCAGAGTCCCGTGTATTAGTGTGAGATGTAGCAGGTCAGTTCAACTGTGTCTTTCACTTTCCATCTCGCTGGGAATTCAGGAATTAACTGATTTCTTATGAAAGGAGTTTGAGAAAATAAAAGTAAAGGAGTGATCTCACCCCCACTGGTGGGACTGATTGGTGCTCCATCCATTTCCTCGAAAGCCTCTCTGTAGCTGTGCATGTTTGGCTGAAGAAGACAAAGTGGCAGTTAGGGGTCACAGCAGCAATTAACCTCACTCAGCGGCTTTGAGCATCTCTCTTGGGAAAGATTCTCACACACTCAGCCCTGCTGCTCTCAGGAAAGAATGCATTTGATGCAAGAGGAGGCCATTCAGCCCCTTGAGCTTGTTATACAGGAACAGGAGGCTATAGAGCCCCTTGAGCCTGGTACATACAAACAGGAGGAGGCCACTCAGCCCACTGCAGCAGACACTTTGCCGCAGGCTGATGTCTCTCTGAACCTCCTGCAATACTGCATTCCCATTCCCTTCCCACCCAGATATTGAACCAGCTCTCTCCCCAAGGCTGACAGCCAGGCCTAGGCCACACCCTGCTGCTGGGAGGTGAGCGAGGCCGATGGAGCCAGTCTCTTGGACACACACACTGTCAGTACGCTCTCACCTCGCGGGGATGTCCTCCTGGGTTCGCAGCGATGGAGCTGGCCAGTTCGGGGGAGACGCAGCGGACTGGGGAACGCACGGTGGGGCTCTGGGGGCCACTCTCTCCACCGTTCTCATACTGTCCCTCGCTGGCTGTTCTGCGTCTCGCACTAGGCCCCATCCCCTCGGGGCTTGTGGCCTGGGACCGTATTCCTGGGTCAAAGGACAAGTGGACGCTAAGTCGTAATATCAGCTCAGGGAGTGCAACCACCCACCCCCACCCCCTCCCCCAGCTCTGACCCCCTTCCTTGGCACAGATACCCCTCCCCAGCACTGACACCTCCCCCACCCAGCCAGTATTAGCCCCACCTCTCCAAGTGCTGACCCATGCCTCCCCATCACTCGCTCCAGGCTCCTTCCTGTATCTTGCGTGTTCAAAGTTATTCCTGCTCCCTGCACAGTGAGATCCTGGTTTGATTCTTTTGGGCTGTGGCTGCCCTGAGGCTTCTTGCTCCTTATGTCTAAGTGAGGATATTGAAGCAAAAACGTAGAAAATAGGAGCAGGAGTAGGCCATTCAGCCCTTCAAGCCTGCTGCACCATTCAATATGATCATGGCTGATCATCAAACTCAGTCCCCTTTTCCTGTTTTCTCCCCTTTCCCTTCGATATAATTCTTAAGGCTAAAGGGATCAAACTCCTACTTGAAAACATTCAATGTTTTGGTCTCAACCACTTTCTGTGGCAGAGAATTCCACAGGCTCCCCACTCTCTGGGTGAAGACATTTCTCCTAATCTCAGTCCTAAATGGCCGACCCCCTATCCTTAGACCGTGACCCCTGGTTCCAGACTGCCCCACCATCGGGAACATCCTTCCTGTGTTTACCCTGTCTCGTCCTGTTAGAACTTTACAGGTTTCTTTGAGATCCCCCCTCATTCTTCCAAACTCCAGTGGATATAGTCCTAACTGATGCTTCTCTCCTCATACGTCATCCTCCTGCCATCCCAGGAATCAGTCTGGAAAACCCTCGCTGTTCTCTCTCCATCGCCAGAACATCCTTCCTCAGGTAAAGGTGACCAAACTCTTCTGCTCCTTCGGCACTGCGACACTCTTCTGTTGACATCTGTACAAAGTAGGTTCTCAAATCCAGCTCGCAAATGTTGTGTCTGAGACCCCCCCTCCTCACATACTCATTACAAATGGTGTCTCTTCCCTTGCTGATATCAGGCTCATGTCATTGATCACATCCTCATGGTTTACATATAACATTATATTATTCTTCCCTCCCCCACTCAAAAACGTCCCCCACCCCCCCGGCCCACTCCCCCCTCCTCCGCAACCCCCCCACCCCCAGCCTCCCCACAGCCCTGCCCCTCCCTCCCCAGGCTCTGTGTATAATCCTTGGGAGTTAACAATAATCTCCCCCTCACTACTGCCAGCCGCTCTGGGGAAGGGGGAGGGGATATCACTGGAGCATTGAAGAACCAATTTTCCCCACTCTGTGTTTGGAGATGGTCAGCTTGGGTTGTTATCTTTTGGAGCAGAGAAGGCTGAGGGGTTCCTGATAGAGGTGTACAGGATGATGAGGGGCATGGACAGGGAGAATAGCAAGCAGTGTTCCCCTTAGTGGGTCAATAATGAGGGGGCATAATTTTAAAGTGAAAGGCAGGAGTTTTAGAGGGGATTTTAAGGAAAACCTTTCTCACCCAGAGGGTGGTGGGGGTCTGGAATGCACTACCTGGGAAGGTAGTTTGAGGTGGGAAACCTCATAACCTTTAAAAAGTACTTGGATGAGCACTTGAAATGTCATAACATTGAAAGCTTTGGCCCCAGTGCAGGAAAGTGGGATGGATGTAGGTGGCAGTGTATTTGTGACAGTACAGACGTGATGGGCTGAAGGGTCTCTTCTACACTGTATGATTCTATTACAGGGGGTTCTCTCATGGAGTGGGAAGACAGAGCCTGGAGGTGACATCATGGAGCACCCAGGTACAAGTGTGATCAGTGTTGGTGCCAGGATCTCACCCACCATCGCCATAGCAACCCATACCACCTATCCCCCCCGCCATCTGAAGAATCTGGTCTGGAATGTACATTTATAAAATCTGCTTCATTATTCAGTCAGACCATGGTTGACCAACTCCATTTCCCTGCTCCATTCCCTTCATATCATTAGTCTGTAGAAATTTATCTCTTTCCCGCCTTGAACATACTCAACGATTGAGATTCCACTGTTGCCTGGGCAGACATTCCCAAAGATCTACCCCAGCCCCACCGAGGGAGATACCTCTCCTCATCTCGGCCCTAAATGCCCCTTATCCTGACACTTTGTTCCTCAGTTCTAGATCCCTGCCTTTATTTTGAGACTCTGCCTCCAGTTCAGACACCAGCCCCACCCCAACACGGCAAACCCGTTCACACACAAAATGGAGGCAGGAATAGGCCATGTAGCTCCTTGAGCCCATTCCACCTCCACTTCATGTTCTCCACTCCCATATCCCAGATAACGCCAACTCCCGTGACTCAGGAACCGACCTCTCCATCTCCTCACGCTGTTAGGTGGAAATCCCAGTGGCTCTCACACTTGTCAGAGTAGACAGTGGACTGACAAGGCCAGGAGATCCCCCACCCTCCTCCTCCCACCTTTGTCACATGTGTCCACATCTTACTCTGATAGGTTACAGCTGTCTCTTTAAGGTCATCCTCAAACAACCCCATCTGTGCCCAGCCATCACTCGCTCTGATTGAATCTCAACAAACTGGGCCCCTTTGGGAGCTTTGACCTCAAAGGTCAGGGATTTGTGAGAGAGATGGCTGGAAGGATGTTTATTTACTCAGAGTGATTATACCCTGTACCTCGCAAATCCAGTTGGTATTAGAATAACAAGAGCGTCAATTGCCAGTGTGATTCCCTTTCTAACACTGTACCCATCCAGCAGTATGGCATTTTACACCAGGCAACAGCCACAGGGGACCTTTAACTAGGAACAAGAGGAACCCTTCTCAAGCTTATTATATCAGCACAGGAGACCATTCAGTCCCCTTCTTGAGCCTGTACATAGGAATAGGAGGCCATTCAGCCCTTTGTTTGAGCCTGTTACAGAGGAACAGGAAGAGGCCACTCAGTCCCCTCTTCAAACCCGTTACACAGGAACAGGAGATAGGCCCATTCATCTGTCCCTACCTTGAGTACATTTCTAAGGAGCAGTGTTTCAAATCCATACACATTGTTCCACCCTTCATTGTTGAAATGTTTAATCCTGATGTTTTGTAAAATTCTGGATGGTCCTAAGTGGTAAACAATTTCAGTCTAAATTTGTCTCCATTCTGAATCTCGATGACAGGAGATGTTCTATTACCTCGGGGCCTGTTTCAGATTTTACAGGAATGATTTACTCTGTTTAATACGTCTCTATGACAACCATCGAGACTAACACAAGCCTGTTTGAATTAGTGAGCAACAGGAGGCCAGAGAAATTTCTAGATCTGACAAGAGAGGAATGGAGAAACTATTCAGTTCTCAGTAAATATTTACAGTTTCCTGCACATGGGAAGTCCTTGATAAAGAAGGCAATCAAAACTCTACAAATATGGACACCTCCATTCTAAAGTCATTTAGCCCTGGCACTAGCTGTGTACTCTCACCTACCTGACTCTACACAATAATAACACAGTGTGTGTGATCGTGAGTTTCTTTTATTCATTCATGGGACGAGGGCGTCGCTGACCAGGCAGCATTTATTGCCCATCCCTAATTGCCCAGAGGGCAGTCAAGAGCCAACCACATTGCTGTGGGTCTGGAGTCACATGTAGACCAGGCCAGGTAAGGATGGCAGTTTCCTTCCCTAAAGGACATCAGTGATAGTGTGAAGAGAGAGTGAAAATGAGTGTGATAGTTAGTGTGATAGTGAGAGTGAGTGTGATAGTGAGAGTGAGTATTAGTGTGAGAGTGTGTCTGATATTGTGTTAGTCTGGAACGTACTCAGTATCTGAGCTTCTGAGATTGAGAATTCCAGAGATTACCCTGGAGGAGAAAGATTATCAGGAGCGAGCGGGAATGTGGATTTGAGGACACAATCATGACCTTATTGAATAATGGAACTGACTCGAAAGGCTGGGTGGTCTAGTCTAATTCATATGTCCACATGAATAAGGAAATTCTTCCTCGCACTGAAGAGTTTGAGATTGTGTCCCTGGTTCTAGGCCCTGCTGAATCAGGGAAACGTCTTTCTGTATTTACTCTGTCTAACCCTTTAAAAATTCTATACGTTTCTCTGAGACACCCTCATCCTTTCAAACTCGAGTGAACACAGGACTGAGGGTGTTGTACTTAAATGCATCCAGCATATGAAACAAAAGTAAATGAGTTTGTAGTACAGATTGAAATTGGCAGGTACAGTGTCATGGGGATCACAGAGATATGGCTGCAAGGGGAACTAAATATCCGAGGATACACGTCCTATCAACAGGACAGGCAGATGGGCAGAGTGGGTGGAGTTGCCTTATGGGTAAGAAATGAAATTAAATCAATAGTAAAAAATGAGTTGGAGTCAGACGGTGTAGAATCAGTGTGGGTAGAGTTGAGGTACAGCAAAAGGGAAAAAAAAGACCCTGGTGGGAGTAGTGTACAGGCCTCCAGGCAGTAGTCAGGACGTGGGGAAGAAAATAAATCAGGAAATAGAAAAGGCATGGAAGCAAGGCACAATTACAATAATCATCGAGACTTTAATATGCAGGTGGACTGGGAAAATCAGGTTGGGAGCAGATCCCAAGAAAAGGAATTTATGGAATGTCTACAAGATGTTTTTTTGGAACAGCTTGTGGTAGAGATTACTACGGAACAGGCAATTCTGGATTTAGTGATGTGTAATGAGACAGATTTAAATAGGGAGCTTAAGCTGAAGGAAGCCCTAGGGGGACAGCGACCATAATATGATAGAAATCATTCTGCAGTTTGAAAGGGAGAAGCTGCGATCAGATGTAATAGTATTACAATTGAGCAAAGGGAACTACAAAGGCATGAGGGAGTAGCTGGTTGGAGTTGATAGGAAGGGGAGTCGAGCAGGGAAGATGGTGGAGCAGCAATGGCAGGAGAGTATTTTGAAGTAATCCAAAAATACCCTCACCAACTCCTACAGATGTACCATTGAAAGCATACTGTCTGGGTGCATAACGGCCTGGTATGGCAACTGCTCTGCCCAGGACCGTAAGAAA